TTTTTAGGACAGGAGGGATCCTGTGATGACTGGAGATAGATATTACTAGGGATTATTTTTTATCACTTTCCAAGAGATTCAGGCAGTAAAAAGGGGTCTTCAATCAGCAGCTTTGTTGTTTTTTCCCCCTGGGACTCTTAGCATATCATGCAAAATAATTTTATGAATGTCTGGAGTTTTTTCCCTTCTGTTTTAGCAACTGAATTTTAAAGACACTTCATTGCCATAGTTTATGAGTTGCTGTCTGTTACGGCAATTTAAATTTCACCCAACAATACAGAATTCCATTTTTAACAGATATAATTAACCAACATAATTACTCCACATTATTTCTTGAGAGACTCTGAGACATAGCTATGTCATCATACCAACAATTCCTTTAAAAATAGTGGTTTTTCTTCATTGTTGTTTTCTCCCAGTGCTTCAGAGTAGAGATAATGGAATATTTGTTCTCTTCTTTCAAAAAGACAAAATAAACCTAAACATTAGCCATACAACAGAAATGGGAAAATAGAGAACATCCAAATACTGAGAGTAAATTTATCACTAATGTTCTATTTTCCTATTTTTAAACCTTTGCTTCAAAATTGACGAAATCTTTATTCATCTTCAGCTTTCTTGATGGAGATTCATTTAAAAAAGCAAGGGACTCAGTGCCCCAGCCCAGTGGTTTCTGTGGGTGTCGTACCTACAGGAGGAGCATCTACAACATTGTTCCAATGGGTCCAGAAAACTGTGTTTGTACTAAGTGTCCTCTGTTGGTGGGATAAATAATATCATACGCACAAAGGCCATGATTATTTTAAAAAAAGCGTAGATACTATAGGGCTAAATTATGCATAATTTATAATAATGCAATTTCATGGTCATATTTTGTGATTATAGATTTTCTCAATTGGTAGATACTAAAAGGGCAGCTCATATCATGTGGGGGTAGTGTGACATTTTTGACACTATAATATGGATTTATCTCATCATTCTAAATATGGGGAATCTCTGCCCTAAACCAAAGTTGGATGACCAAGTGAGTGTTCTGAGTCTAAACCTTTACTTATATTGTGAACTTGTTGGTCATTATGAAGATGTTTCCCTTGCCTTAGTGTCCACACTGCAGGGGAGATGGCCTTAGTGGTCAGCCGCTCTCTGAGCAGAAAGAGGAGGGGACGGATGCCTCCTACAGCAATTCGTTGGCGGTGTGAGGGCCTCCTTAGCCAGCTCTCACTGCACTGGCCTTTGCTCTGCCTGCTGTGAGAAAACAGAATGAAGTATTTATTACATTTTATAGTGACAGAGAACAATTGTCATTCCTTAGGATTGCTTTCCTCCTGCCTCATTTTCACTCATTAGTCCACTTCTGTTTTCTCGCTCACGACTGCTCTGCCTCCACAAACTGAAATTCAGGGCATTATAAAAAGAATACAGTGTCTCTTACTTACCCAAAGCCATTCTGAAGAAAGAAAGGAGGAAACTCATACTTCCTGAGTGACTACTAAGTGCTAGGTTTTAAATCTTTATCCCTCATGGGTACCATGATCCCCATTACCACAGAGAGGGATCTGGGGCTTGGACTGGGTCAGCAGCCACGTGCTGATGGTTGCTGCAAAGTGTACGTAGGGAGTCCAGGCATCCATCCTGGTCTGGAGACTTCTACAACCCATGCTCTCCCTTTCTCCCTCCCTCCCCCCTTTCCTTTTCCTTCCTTCCCTCCCATCTCTACGGTACCTTGAACTATTACCCACTTTGGATTTTTGGATGAACTTACATTTGCCTTGGATGCATGAGCTTTAATTTCCACTCAAGATTTTGCCTGTATAGTCAAATAAGCACTGGTCTGTTTTCATGCTAGGAAAATCTGAATTTAGAATCTGATATTTTTGGGGTTTATATCTTGGAAGTCTCCTCATGAACAGTTCTAAATATATTAGAAAGTAAAGCTCCTTGCTTTGTGTGCCTAGAAAAGAGAGTGCTCATATGAACATCAGAAACAAATTCCAAATACAGACTCTTTTAACTGACAATGAACCTTTCGCTAATACCGTTCACCTGTATTTTAACGCTATTGTCCCAAGTGGCTGAAGGATTTGGATGCATTTACCTAAGTGCTCCACAGTGTTCTGATACTTGCTCAGTCTTTGCCGCTGTCTGTATTGAGGGGTGACGAACAGTGTATTTAAACACACTGTCAAACCATGCTTGTTTGTCATTTCCCTTTAGATCTATCTCCTGATTCATCATTTATTCTGTAATTTTCTTATGTCTCCGCAAGACTTTCAGCCATGAGCGGTGACAGACAGCTCACAATCCTGACCTTTTCTGCCTCTCACATTCTTTGCAGAAGCACTCAACAGTGTACCGCCGGGTTGAGAATTCCCACTGGTGGGCCAGCTCTGGGGCTCGCTTCCTTTCACATGCCTGCGGGCCTGTTCCCTGGCAATTCAGGCACGTGGAAGTGCGTGTGGCCCTCGCCAAGCCCCCTGGCACATTGCAGCGAAGTCAGCGGCCTTCCTTTTGAGCACGGAGTGCACCTGGGCTTTTCTGAGCGTGTGGGGATTTCCTGTGACCTTACCTTCTCAGCCACTGTGGAGAAGGGCAAAACGTTTGTGCTTCACAGGACAGAATCCGATGCCTTCTGAAGAAGAGAAGTGCACCAAAGAGGACGAAAATCATGTGGAGGTCAAAGTCAGGAACACAAATGTTTTTTGGATCTCTTTGTACGAGTCAGCAAAGCCTCTGAAGGCTGAGAGTTTCGCTCTGAATAAACACTCAGAAACGTAGAGTGACTCACTTCAGGCTATGGAAAACCCCTGGCCCGGGAGCTCTCCGGGCTCAGCTTTCCTTCTCCCCAACCCTTCCAGAACGCACAATGTTTCCTTGCCTTGCGAGGGGGCTGCTGACCCTTTCTCAGTGCTGCTTTCTGCTTCGTTGTCCCAGTGGCTAGAAGAAATCAGACCTCAGCCTCCCAGGATCAGTCTAGTGCTCCAGGAAAGTGAGTCTGGAGCAAATTGGATGCTGTCCTTTTGAAATGAGAACCTGCCCCAACTGCTACAGTGCAGAGATGAGGCTGGCTGGAGGCTCACGGCAGGAGCGATGAGCATGTTGCAACCAGACAAGCTCTTAGATGTCTTGTGCTAATCGGCCACTGATTCTGCCCATTTTTACCAAGGGCATTACCCTGGGCTTGTCACAGAAGGGTCCTCTTCTCTTTGCTTCTGGCCTCTTTTCTAACTCCCGCAGACCTTAAAAGAACAAAGTAACAAGAGGAAAGAGAAAATGATGTGACTCTCAGGAAGAACAAATACTTGAGACCACCTTGTTGGCCTCTTTTCTAACTCCCGCAGACCTTAAAAGAACAAAGTTAACAAGAGGAAAGAGAAAATGATGTGACTCTCAGGAAGAACAAATACTTGAGACCACCTTGAAGCAAAACTTCCATTCCTTTATTCATTACTCATTCATTCATTCACTTATCAAATATTTTTTTAGGGCATGGTCAATGTGCCCAGAACCATGCTAACTGCTAAAATTATAAATGTAACCCAAATATAGAAAAAGTTTTTAGCCTTCCAGGATAACTCTTTATTTTGTTAGCCAAATAAAGTGGCATATGCCTCTATTCTGTGAACTGCAGGAAATCCAGCCACCCTTTCTAAGGGCTGTGTAGAATGCACCGAGGTCTGCTAGTGACACCTTTTTCTCTGCTGCTGCTCTGGCTCCTCCTTACCACATCTTCTCTTTACCTGCTCCTGCTGCTTGGGCTGTCTGTGCCCTGGTTTGCCCCAAAGCATAAACATATTTTCTTCCTTCGTTGCATGGGGTAGGGCTGAACAGATCACAGTGATATCAGAAAAGGAGAGCATAAGTGAGATACTGGCTGTCACTGCTCCACAGGCATTTCTCCTAGCCCTGGCCGGTGTCTTTCTTGCTGGTGGGGTCCACTCCCACCCACCCAGGTTTTCCCTTCCCCAAGCCTCAGGCTCCTCACTAGGGAAGAGTGTGGAGGTTTTGCTTGGTAGCCAGATAATGTCTCCTTCTAGGTTCACCCAAGGCCTTGATTGTAGCACTGTTTGGCTTCTCACTGTTTTAGTCTCTCTTTCCTTATCAGCCTTTGGGCATTTTCTTTGCAAATTAAAAAGAATACCACAGTGTTTTCTCAAATTAAAAAGAAAACCAACAACACAATTTCCCCCCTAAGATAAATTCTGTTGCACAATCTAGAATACAGAAATAGACATGGGTAGCTTTTAGAGGAGCATTCTGCTTCATGATTAAGATGACAGGGCCCCTGCCCACAATTCTAGCATAATAGGAGAGACAAGGAGTGAGCCAGTTTTGCAGCAGAATATTCTTTTTTTTTTTTTTTTTTTTTTTTNCCCTGGCAATCGGAAGTTGGATTACAGGGTATGGTGATAGGTATAAAAGGGCCTAAATGGCCGGCCTTTGCAAGGCTCTTCATGATATTATAAAACAAGAAACAGAGAGCACAGCAAATAACTCCACCATGAAAAACTTGAATTCTTCCTAAGAGGCATTGTTTACATCAGAATAATGGTACAGGAAACAAAATGTTGACATGAAATAGTTCATGATTATGACAGTCAGGCTGGATAAGAGAGCCTCTACAGATAATTTCTATTCAAATGACTGAGTGGCAGCCTGGTTCTTCTTTTTGCATTTCAATGCTGCTTTTTAACATCGCATTTTCTTAATCGGAATGTGTTCAGGATTGCAGGATATACAAAAAGTTCGTAGAAAAACAGAATTAAAAGATAATATGAATCTTTCCACGAACTTTTTGAAATACTCTCATATGTATATAATGCAATGAAAATAAAGCGTTCTCTGATATATAAAGAGGAATTAAGTACACCTTAGAGGAGGTGGAAAAGTCACCACCTGGGGAGAATATCAAACTGTGCAGGCACAACCTACTGTGAAATAGCATATGCTGCTATTTTTAGTAATGACATTTAAGTAATTTCAAAATATCGTTTTAAAATAATTTGGCATTGGAAGAGGGTAAAAGGTTTTAATGTTTATCAAAAGAAGAAATGTGTTAAAATATTGATAAAAATTGCAAAAAATATTGAGGAACAATACTTTAGAAAACAGTGTGTTCCCTTCTCTAAACAATTGGTATAGTATATTCACACTCACTGTCCAGATTCACAGCATTACTTAATTCTTTCAGACTATTCATGAGCTTTGTCATTTTAGCATCTGTATTCGTGATATAGTTTTGATCTACTCTTATCTATTGCTGTTACCATGTGTCAAAATATGACCCCCAGTTTTTAGCATTATTTATATGGGGAAATACAATATTCTTTATGACGATGGAGATACACTTTCAAAAAAACAAAACAAAGCTGGATAGCAAAAAAGCGTGGGCTCCT